TTCAGTTGCGTTTATCTGTCCGTCTGTCCGTCTGTCCGTCTGTCTGTTGGTCAACAAGATAACTCAAGAACGCCTGGATGGATTGGTTTCATACTTGGTGTGTTGGTAGGGTGTGACGAAAACTGGAAATGATGAGATTTTGGTCCCCCTAGTGGCTTCCCTTGGTACTGCAGCGCAACTTCCGGTTTTGATATCTCGCGATCTGGACATGCTAGGGTCATGAAATTTTGATGGAAGGTAGCTCTCGTGCTTGGGAAGAAGTCATATGAGTTTGGCCCCCCTGGCGGCTTGTTCTGGAACTGCAGGGCACTTTCTGGCGAAATGTTTAAAAGCCAATAAGTCCAGACAGGAACAACATATTTTCATTATTTTTGGTGTGTAGGTAGCTGAGAGAGAGATGTACATAATTAAATGCAAATTATGCAAATGAGGACTTTATTTGCATAATTAATTTTAGGAAATTCTATAATTACAGTGTTTTACATTATACTAGGCGGAACTTCAACAGATACTAATTATGCAAATGATGACCTAATTTGCATAATTAATGTGAAAATTCTATGATTTCGTAATGGTGAATGATGAGAATGTCATACTTGGGACATCTGTAAGTTAATCAAAAGTTAACATACATCACGATGCATATATCATGTTAATGCAGAGGTCATTTGAACAATTAAAGAAGAAATTTACATTTACATATCAAGATCATATTTCATGGAGGTATGAGATCTCGGAATTCTAGTTTAATCATAATATCATTTTGTCGTAACTATTTTTCAAATACGTTTGCTAGCATTAACATGTTTAATGTCTTGGGGTGGTGGGACTACGGTGCACAGATATGTCAACTTTGTGTATTTAAATGTTAATTGTACTTTTTTGTAGTGTGGCGCTGTTAATATAAGTTATAAACTTGGGTGCAGCGTTACACTGTCCTTGTTATGTTTTCATGCTTTGATGAATAAAAAAACTATTTTTCAGGTTGAAGCCAGCTTGGCAGAAGCCCAGTTCGACAAAGAAGTGTCTCAAAATGCCTCCAGGTTTGACTGGCAGAATTTCAACAATGCAACACTCAAGAGACTCTTTGATAAAATCACTGGTCTTGGAACCGCAGCTCAGACTGACCAGGCAAAACTGGAGGAGGTCAGTACTGCAGTAATATGTAAATCCGGCAGATGTCGTTCGTTTAAAGGTGTCAGCGGCCATTTTGTTTTCTGAACCTAGTAGTTGCCCTACGAAAACCTTCCATCCACATGTATCCCTATAAACAGATACATTTTATTTGATACTAGTAAAAATGTTGACTGTCACTTTCAATCCAATTGTAAAATCCTTTCTTTTTCGTTGTTGTTTTTCAGCTCAACAATATACTTGTAAAATCTTTTTTTCGTTGTTGTTTTTAGCTCAACAATATACTCTCCGAGATGGACAACATCTACTCCACTGGGAAGGCGTGTGAGTACGACAACCCGTCCAACTGTCTGGCGCTGAACCCAGGTAAGAATGGTGGGCTGTTTACAGAGCGTTAACTACACGAAGATGAACTACTAGAAAATTGTACACAATGTAAGGAACAAAAGTCAATTCAATCATGAAAGTTCATCTGTGTTGGTAATTACGTGTTTAAAGTTAAAACTTTTGGTCCAACACAAAAAATTCTCTCACCTAGAGCTTTCGACCATTCACTGTGGTCTTCTTCAGTAGACTGACCCAGTGAAGCTTATCACGTGGCTTCTTTGAAGTGTGACGTCAACACTGGGTCAAAGGTATCTGGTAGACGATGTCGGTCCCCATTGCCGTTCAATAAAGGGTGATGGGCCCTGACGTATATGGCTTCCTTCACCCCTCTCAAGAAAAAGTCTTGTTCAGTGTCTAAAATCCTTACAGAGTCAAGCTCTAGGTGAGATAAGTCTTGTCTTGTACCAAAAGTTTTAACTTTAAACAAAAGTCGATTCAATTGTGCCCTGGTGAAAAATACAATCATTAAGGCCCTTCGATGTCTAATGCTTTACTCAATCAAACTTTTTCATTCCTTTCATTCCTTCTTGTTTGTTTTTGCATATTTTGTACACCCATGTTTCTGTGTTCAGATTTATACAACTGCCTGGCTGACTCGCGTGACTACGACCGGCTGCGGTTCTGCTGGGAAGGCTGGCGGGACGCCGTGGGCAGACAGCTGAAGGACAAGTACCCTCGCTTCGTGGAACTCAGCAACGATGCCGTCGGTCAAGATGGTAAGATGCTGAACTTGAACATTCATCTTTACATACAGACGTGGTATTAGAGAAATAAAGAGCACAGATAACAGATAAGAATGTAAATTTCGTCTGGCGTCTTAGCTTGGTGGCCGTGGCTAAGACGATTCGTACCACCAATGGGGCTGGAATCGTAGAAAAACTGCTCACTTTGTCATATCTTGAAAATTCATCTGTATTGGTAGAAGTCATTATGCAGCAAGTTTAAACTGTAAGTTCGAAAAACAAGAAATTGGACTGACCCAAATTTTCGACTGTACAACTCCAGTCTTTGTCAAGGAATGAGCAATCCACCGCTTCCGTGACGTCACGCAGATAACACACGTGAATCCGTGAGTAGTGAATCATAGGTTTCAGAAAGTCTGTGGCGCCCCCCGTCTCTGTTGAGGGATGGTTGTAATGCCCTGATGTAGATGGCCTCTTTAATCCCTCGTGCATGAAGTCGGGTTCTGAGTCCAAGATTCTTACTTTGTCCGGTGAGACTGAATGACCAGACGATTCTATGTGTATATGTTGTTAGAGCTCCGAAGTAGTCGAGCTAGGTCGTTAGTGTTCTAAGAACCTAGCCTTGAGAGATCTTTCAGTCTCTCCAATATAGGTTTCCTTACACGGGCCCTTGGAAGTCTGTCTTTGACACGGCCCTCCGGCAGTGGGAAGAACCCCCCCCCCGCCG